GCTGTGGGCGGACAACCAGTGGATTCTGTACGTGAGTCTGGACGCCCTCGATGTAGCCATCGTTGTGCGAATAGGAGCAAGGTGACGTCTGGTTTGATGTTTATGGGCGTTGCTGTTTGTATGTGATTGGGTTGGAATGCCTCCCTTAATGGCGTTGGCTGCACGGACTCTCTTTTTTCCCACCTTATGACCTTTCACTCAAGGGTGCTGCCAGATATAGTTTCAAGGTGCTGCATTTCTTGTATACTGCGGGAGCGATGCTCGGTGGTTCTGTCACGTCAGATCGCCTTTTGTTTCGTTTAACACCGTGTTGTGGTGCTTTTCAACTACCGCCGCTGCTGCGCCACAACGGGGAGCCAAAGTATGAAGCGGGGGCGGAGCTCCTCGTGAAGTGGCTGGCGGGTGCATCGCACAAAAGACACACCGTGTTTCCCATTGATTTGACGCAGGGTGCTCCAGACAGCGCCCCAATGCAAGACGGCCAACTGAAGGTGCAGACAATGCCGGTCTGCGAGGTTGCATTCGAAACGCGGATGCAGTACAAACCGCGACGAAAGCGGGACAAGAGTGAGGTGGTGTACAAGAAGAAGATGATGCAGGTGGAGGTTCTGCTGCTGCTGAGGAAGCGGCCCCAGCGTGGTGAGACGAGTGGGAGATGTCATGAGAGACTCCTGCAAGATGATGTTGAGGCGGGGAATCGTGTGTGCTCCTTCTCTGTAGCTAAATGCACGACAGACTTGAGAGATTTTCTTCCGTGTGACGGCGCGCCGCATCGTGTTCGGTTGTGCATGCAACGCGAGGGTGATTACCTTGACGTGACCTGTTCAGTGAAGCCGGTTAGTGGCGCGACGGCGATGCCGACGCTGGAAAGACTCACCAGCGAGGCTTCATCCACCGCGTCGTCGACTGCTGCGTCCGCCACCACCACCACCGGCGATGCGGCGTCGTCGACCGCCAGCAGTTGGCTGCGCGACACAGAAGTTCTGGTGGAGTCGCTGCGGCCGGAGCCGTCACGCGAGGTGTCTCTTACGCTGCCGCTGGTGGGGGCGCAGGCGAATAATCGTGCGATGGGTGACAGCAACACCAGCCAGACGTCAGCCGTGGAGGTGTGCCCGCCAGTTATTCTCATGGCGCCAATGCTGAGCGCTGAACTATCGGTAATTCACGCATTCTGTGATGCGTCGGCGCAGGAGGTGGCGCAACTTCGGCAGCACGGCGAAGGCTCCGCGCTGCGGCCGCCATTCTCACCTCTGCGGCAAGTGATCGAGAAGGGTGTCTCGTGCGAGCAGCAGTTCGAGGAGGGCGATCCACTAAAGCTATTTACTGCTTTGTTTCCCTCGTCCCCGCAGCCTTCCGCGCTCATGCCTGCGCTGCACCGCAACCGCCGTGACGTCGACTACCCCCCGGTGCACATGTGGACTGAAGCCGAACAGGCACACCCGCACGTCGCCTACTACGCTGTGACGTTTAATATGCGGCTCCGCAAGGATCAGTGCATCCCTGCAGAGGAATACGGCGTTGCGGTAGGCGCTGGTGACCGCGTAGTGGCGCACGTGATGTGCGTGGCGCCGACAGCTCCTGTTGTTGGGAAAGACGCTCGTCTGGAGTTCCTCGTGGAGATCATGAGCGGCGGCCTCGTGCACGCCGTGGTGTTTCCATGTGTGCCGGGTAAATTACGGTTCCTTCTGCGTTCACTAATTTCTTCAAAGCTGACGAAATTAGAGGCACTGCTGCAGAAGACGCTGCGGGAGGTCGCTCAATCCACCGGTATTAATACGGCTGCAGCTTCCGTTACTCGTACCCCAGCGGCAGTTTCCGAGGCGGACCTGGCGTTGCTGTTTTCCTCGTCACTCGATCCGAACATGTGGTGCAAGCTGCGGGATCCGGAAATCCTTTCACGCGCTCCTCTCGTAGTGTCCATACTGAAGCGATTTCAACAGGTTGAACTTCCACCACCACGCGTCTGTGATTCACTGTTGCAGGTGCTTGAACGGGTGATCTGCCTTCACCACAATTGTGCTCCTGTGGTACTTCACGTGACGCTGACACTCATGCGCATTGCAGCTGAACGGGGATCCGCGGCCGACCTTGCAAAGGTGTCCCCAACGCTGGCATCGACACTCTGCCAGGTCTACGCACTGTACCCACTTGAGTCGCTATTTGAAGTCACGACATCACCGTCAATGAGCGGCAGTCCAGAGACATCCATAGCGGAGGCGCGGGGTTTTCTCGACGCGCTGGAGGCGGGGACGGCCGCCCTGCAGGAGCAGCGGCGACGCGAATTGTTGTGCGTCCGGGATGTGTGGCACCTGCTGGAGATCAGTCTCACCGACCGACAGACGGCGACAGATGTTGTGCTGCGGATGCGCGATGAACGGCGGCTTCTTTCGTCGCAGCATCACTGTCACCTGCTGAACGCAGCGCTGTCTATGCATATGGACTGTGCGCCTATTGCGCACAGCATCCTTGGTATTATGCTGCACAACTATCGCTTCAACAAATCATCGTTTTTTGACGAGCTGCACCCAATAAGTGCAGACTTTGTGGCAGCCATACGCCGTGCAATAGTGATTCACGGTGAGAGTTTCCTTAGGGAAAATTCCACCACCCTTGTAGTAGACTTCGATGCCTTTGGTGAGGCGCTTGAACAGCGCGCGTTGTCGTTGACGTTTTTTGAGAGGCACTTCCAGCCGGTGTTGGATGAGTCGCCTCTGTTCACCTGCAGCGTCCGTCTTGTGGGTGCGGAGGCGGATGCTGACGGCACAACAGAGGTGCCGCTGACGGTGACGATGTCGTTCCTATGCGTTGGGGACAGCGTGTATCCCCTCTCGCATGTGTATAAGCTGCGGATGTACAGGCGCTGGTGGTGGATGCCGGCTCTGTGTCTCTCTCTGCGGGAGACCGGTGATGCCACATCACTTAGGCAGAGTGACGTTTGCCGAGATATTGAGGTTGTCACGTTTAGAAGGAGTGAGCTTGTCGAGGTACTGCTGCGGGCAAACAGCAATATCGCAGTGGACAGATAGTGCGTTCGATTATCTTCGTTTCATACTTTCTATTTTTTTTTTTTTAATATATATATATATATATATATA